TTGCTCTAACAAAATAAACTAATGAACAAATGCAAAATAATGTCTGCTAACCTAAAAATCTATATTTTGATTTTCCAGGTATTCTCATTCTTACCTCTCAGAAGCAAACCCCCCTTTTTTGTTTCATTTTGTCAGTAACCCTCCAAGCAAATACTCAAAGAAATTACTATTTTTAGTTCATATAAAAATTCAAAGATAATTTTTTTTGCTTAATTCTAAATACGGCCCGGCATGGCCAGGTGGTTAGGGCGTTCGACTCGTAATCTGAGGATCGCGGTTCGAATCCCCATCACACCAAACATGCTCGCCCTTTCAGCCGTGGGGGGCGTTATAATGTGACGGTCAATCCCAGTATTCGTTGGTAAAAGATTAGCCCAATAATGCGCAGATAACCATCGTGTAGCTTTGCGTGAAATTCAAACCAAACTATAAGTGTACACGTGAGAGTGTCATGATGACGCGGAATGACTAAGAGTCGAATGAATCTCTGTGTAGAATTCAAAGAAAGGTAGCACCAGTCAGAATTAAAACTGTTTAATTACATACAGCAAAATACACCCTGACAGCACACTGTTCCCCAGTAGATACCTGTCCTCAAACAATGTTTCGACCCCTACATCTAAGCGTCTAAGACAAGCGAAATCAGCATCATTGGCGTTCCAATACTGCTCCACGAAATTTATTAGATCGTTACAATATTTCAACCATAAAAGGGTGGTTATGTTTTTATACTTGGGGAAGTAAACAAATCTAGCTATAGTTACTCTGACGGAAAAAGTAAGGATGAAAATTATTGCATTACGTTCGATTGAATAATAAAATGATGCAATTGTAGACGTGTGGTTATAAATAACAATAAATGAAACGGTACAGTATTCTATCATTCTATAAAGTTCTTGCTGAAATAGAAGTATAATGACCATATGAGAATCTTTTAATAAAACTAAATGCAAATTGCAAATTATTTTATAGAAAAAAACACACTTTATTATGAATTGATGCATTACAGAGCCCCAGGATTCTTATATTTTCATACAATCACGACCTTTCACGAACATAAAAGTTTAGACTGGTACTTTCGATGAAATTGATACAAGATTGCAGGCAAGTGCCTGGGAAGTTTTTTTTTTTATCTGATGACTCCGTTTACTTTATGTAAAATATGTTTTCGACTGTTCTAAAAATATTGAAGTGCTAGTAAGCAGGTTATTTGTTGAGGTTTTCACAGGTAATATATGAATATATATATATTTTAGTTGCAATGTCAAACATACGAAATAAAGTTATTTTAAATAAGAACTCTATGAAGCTTATAACGTCTTACATGTCCACCTCATGGAAAATGTCTGATAAATTTGATAAGTATTTTTGCTTATTTATGCCTTATTTGAATTAGTTTGCATTACGCAACATTTAAACGTGACGAAAAGAAGTGGCATTATTTGCTTACTCTGAGCAGAAAATGTAAGCATTAAAACATTTTTTTTAGTGAATAATTGAAGATAAGAAGAACTAATTGCAATATTTCTTTCGTAATTTTTATCAATGCAAAGTTATCAGCTACAAATGCTTTGGTGTGCTACAGTTTGCTTTTAACATACACATTGCACGTGAATATACGTAATTGTACAAATGTATTTATCTTTGTTTCAAAATTAAATGTAGTCGTATTTACATCGTTTCATTATTATTATTTTCCCATTTAATCTAAACGTCATAAGTATCCATACTTGACACCTATAAACACCTACATTAAATAAATGTGCAACTTGACCAATTTTTTGAGCGGCAAATTGCATACCCAGCTATGCCCTTGGTGAAAGCCTGACAGATCCGGTGAAAGTCCACAAGTAAAAGTGAGCTCTCAGTCCATAATAGTCTTTCTTTTTTTGAAGCTCTTGTTATGTACTATAAAGGCCCGGCATGGCCAGGGGGTTAAGGCACTCGACTCGCAATCTGAGGGTCGCGGGTTCGAATCTCTGTCACACCAAACATGCCCGCCCTTTCAGCCGTGGGGGCGTTATAATGTGACGGTGAATCCCGCTATTCGTTGGTAAAAGAGTAGCCCAAGAGTTGGCGGTGGGTGGTGATGACTAGCTGCCTTCCCTCTAGTCTTACACTGCTAAATTAGGGACGGCTAGCGAAGATAGCCCTCGTGTAGCTTTGCGCGAAATTCAAAAACAAATAAACAATATGTACTATAAAAGTCTTACCTTAAAAGTTATGCAAGTTATTTTAAGAAGACTGCACTCTTCTTGAAAACGCAGAAAACACACACAATTTGCTAAAAAGGAGCAAAATATCTGCGAGGATTTTCAGTAGCGTTCATTCTCCAAGAAAATTGTTGTCAGACAGTGGAAAATGTTTATACCTAGCTCTGCCGAGTGAAACGACAGCAGAGCTGGATAACAAGTTGTCAATTATCCAAAGATCGTTTCGTACGTACAAAAAAACACTACAACTAAACAGAATTGTTGGAAAAATTTATAACTTTTAAAGGAGTCAGTGGTAAGGAGTTTCTTTTAATAACATTTAAAACAAAATATGAATTAGTTATTATTATTGACTGCTACTAACTTATGTGGTACGATTTATTTTCTTTTACTCGTATGAATTAGTTATTATTATTGATTGCTACTAACTTATGTGGTACGAATTATTTTCTTTTACTCGTATGAATTAGTTATTATTATTGATTGCTACTAACTTATTATGCCCCCCCCCCCCGTAGCACAGCGGTATGTCTGCGGACTTACAACGCTAGAATCCGGGTTTCGATACTCGTGGTGGGCAGAGCACAGATAGCCCATTGTGTAGCTTTGTGCTTAATAACAAACAAAATTTATGCGGTACGAATTATTTTCTTTTACTCGTATGAAGTAGTTATTATTATTGATTGCTACTAACTTATGTGGTACGATTTATTTTCTTTTACTCCTATGAA